CCAAAGGTCTGTAGGACAAACTGTTAACAAGTTTTGTTCTAAGTGTCAGAATGTTTTGATCTTTTAAATTTAACTGATGACTTCTGTCCAAGATCGGTTCTGTGGCTACAACTTTTTCATTGAATGCGAAAGCATAGGATCATACTTGGCTCTTTTATGTGGTGAAAGCAGATACTTCTTAACATTTTTAGACTTTAAAATTTATTATACAATTTATCATAACTGTTGTTTTTGATTGACAAATCATAATTGTACACATTTATGGGGTATAATATGTGTTGATACATTCATTCAATGTGACATGATTAAATCAAGCTAATTAACATATCTGTCACCTTGCTTATCCGTTTTTTGGTTTAAAAATTACTCTTGTTTTGAAATAAATAATACATCATTTTTCACTCTTGTCACATCACAATGCGATAGCTCTCAGAACCTATCCTTTGTGTCTGTCTGAAAGTTTGTGCCCTTTGATCAACAGCAAAAGCACATTTTTTTTTTTTTTTTTTTGAGACAGTTTGCCCTGGCTGGAGTGTAGTGGCATCATCATAGCTCACTGCAACCCCAAACTCCTGGCCTCAGGCAATCTTGCCTCAGCCTCCCAAGGAGCTAGGACTAACAGGCACATGCTACCACACCTGGTTTATTTTTTCTATTTTAGTAGAGTTGGAGTCTCTCCTTGTTCAAGCTGATCTCAAACTCGTAACTTGAAGCAGTCCTCTCGCTTCAGCCTCTCAGAGTGCTGGAATGACAGGCATGTGCCCGGCCAAAGGGACATTATTAATGATGATTGATCCCCACGTGTTGTACTCCCAAATCCCTAAACAGGACAGTGAAGTCATGGAGCCACAAATACCGTCAGAGCTCCTGAACCTTTGCCCCCGACCTCCATTTTATCAATCTTTCTGGAAAGCAGAAATCAGAGAAAGAAGTATAATGAAAAGAGAGCCACCACTATGGACCACATTTGTTTCTCTTTTTTGTCTTTTAAATTTGTTTTTCTTTTATCTGTTTTAGCACAGGCCACACCTCTGACCATAGCTGAGATTGAGTTGAGGGCAGATGGTTAGTGAATCAGAAGTAACCAACTGTATCGAGTTTGCGCATCTCCGTGGGGACCAGGATAATTTCTGTCAGACATGTTACCATAGATTAATAATTACATGGTGTATTTTAAAATGTTAAAATTAGGCACACTGTGACCTCACAGTTGTTATTGCTCAGGATGGGGCCAGAGTTGGCAGCAGGTGTTACAAATGATTTGGGCTTAAAGGAAATATTAGGTAAATTAGAGAACAGCTGTAGAGAGCTAGGGCCAGGCTGGTGAAATGGGGGGGAGTAGAGGGGTGGTGATCGGGTTTGGGACAAGTAGAGACAGGAAGAAACGGGAGTAGGGAGCGGATCATGAAGAGAGCTGGTGTTTATTGAGTTGTTATGCTTGGGGCACTCTTCTAAGTGGTCTACACTATTTAACTCATTAAATCTCCCAACCCTCCTGTGAATTAGGTGCTGCTGAGGCTCGGGGAGGTTAGACACAGTCATTGTGGCCAAGGCAGAATGTACACTCAGGTAGTCTAACTCAGAGCATGAGCTCCCGTCTCTGCGCTCTGCCAAACCAAAAATAATAAGAAAGCACAACTTAAGACCGAACTCTACAATCAGTGCGCTAACAGATCCCAACTGTGCCTCTGTGTTCATGTCTCTAAAATGGGACCAAGCACAGGGAGAGGCATCTTCAGAGGCAGTTGTGTGTTGATCCAGGTTTGCCACGTGACGTGGAGCCAGCCCCTTCCCTTCTCTGGGGTTTGGTTCCCATGAGCTTTCTCCCTACCGTTCCCTATGGGGACTGCCCCAGTGCTTGCCTTGAGGCAGATCCTCCAGGTTCTTGATGCCCAGGAGTGTCTGATGCTGAGGAGGTTTCACAGCAGCACGGAGCCAAAGATGCCCACCGTCCCCCGTCCCAGGCCATGCAGAGCCTTGGTGGGACAGCCAAGCTGTTGGGCCCGCAATATCTCTGCGGAATTTTAAGCAAGTGGGTAGCACAATCAGTTTCAGCTTTGATACGGTGAATCTGACTATGGGGTAAAAAACAGATTTGGGGCAGGGTGGAACGGGATTGAACAGGAAGGCAGCTGTCACAGACTTGGAGCCTAGAGGTGGCTCAGACCACAGAGGCTGAGGTAGAGTTGAGTGGAGTGGGGAGGTATTTAGAGAGGTAAGTTTGAGTAGCAGCTGGGCAGGGAGGTGCTCAGGTTCTTGGCTTGCCACCGGGAGGCCTGGCTGGGAATCTTCAGAGCACCTGAACTTTTGCCCCCTCTCGGACCTCCATTTCAGGGACTTTGCTGGAAAATGGAAGTCAGAGAAAGAAGTATAATGAAAAGAGGGCCATCACCATGTACCACATTTTTTCCTCTTTTTCTGTCTTTTTAATTTGTTTGTTCATTTATTTATTTTAGCATAGGCCACACCTCCCTCACAGCACAGCCTAGGAAAGGCCTGACTCAGCCATCCTTTCCTCCATCTCTCTCCGTCGCTGGTTACCCTGCCCAGAGCAGAAGGGGCTCCTGCCAGGGCTGAATGTGGCCATTCCTCTTGAAGGAGAGTAGGACTCCACTCCCTGCCTGCTGGACAAAGGACTGCACTTGGATGCAGGTGGCTCTGGAGGGAGAGGAGTTAGGGCTCCACGAGGCTGGTCCATGCAGTCTCCTTCTTGAACCTGGTTCTGAGCCTACTGAGCAAGTGAGGCTGGGACTGTTCCCCTGCAGAGGGGCCCCTTGGCCAGTGGCCCTTTGGGGTGTAGGGGGTGGGAAGGCTGCAGCGCACCGCAGCGGACCTGGCCAAGGGCTCTTTCTTGGTCCAAGTTGGTGGTAGGTGTATGGTGTATTGCATAATATGTTGTTTGCTCTCACAGTTCAAAATAAAAGGCAAAGTGATTTTTATTTTTATTTTTATTTTTTTATTTCTTATAGCATAACTGTGTACATTAATGCAATCATGGGGTGCAGTGTGCTGTTTTCATATACATTTTGGAATACTCTCATCAAACTGGTTAACATAACCTTCATGTCATTTTCTTATTTATTGAGTTAAAACGTTCATACTCTGCTTTTAGAAAGATTCACTTGTACTCTTGTAAGATAAACCATAGAGGTGACCCCACCAATCACCCTCCTTAAACAAAGCGATTTTTGGAAGAAGAAAGAAGTCTCACCAGAAGGGTGGCCTCCTGGGTTGGGTCATGGCTCAGCCTGCAGTCCTGCTTGAGGACTGTTTGTGCCTCTGCAGACCAGTGTATAGCCACAGCACCCCCTTATGTCAGTGAAGACCGAGGCAGGAATAGGTCCTGACATTTGCAGGCCACCTTGGTCCTTCTCTGCCTGGCCTTACAGCCCTTGTGGGAACCCCTGTTCTGCTCTTGACAGAGCCCCTATTGCTTAGACCCCAGATGTTCTGGAGCTGGATTCTGACCCCAATGATAGACACCTGAGAAGGAGCTCCAGGGTGGGCCCCTGATTCACCTGTAGCCTAAAGCCTCCTCTTTGTCTCCAGTGCCCCCAGCCATGCTTCCCTCTGGACCAGGGCCTGAGGCCAGTGCCCTCTGCCTTCATGAAGGCTGGGCTGTGGTTGGCCTGGCCATCCAGAAGTGATGCCCTCTTCTCTTGCCTCCCATACGTCTGTATCATTCCAGCATCTCATCCTGGCACTCCCAGAGGGCAGGAACAAGTATTTGATAAAAATATAATAAGACCAGATTTTGAATATAAAGAGAAGTTGTCTGTGACCATATTGCCAGTGGCAAGAGGGAGCCTCTGAAGGTTTTTTTTTTTTTTTTTTTTTTTTGAGACAGAGCCTCAAGCTGTCCCCCCTGGGTAAGTGCCAGGCAACAAAACTCACAACAACCCCCAACTCCTGGGCTCAAGCGAGTTTCTTGCCTCTGCCTCCCAAGTAGCTGGGACTATAGGTGCCCGCCACAATGCCTGGCTGTTTTTGGTTGCAGCCATCGTTGTTTGGCGGGCCCAGGCTGGATTCGAACCCGCCACCTTACTTAGGTGTATGTGGCTGGTGCCTTAGGCACTTGAGCCACAGGCACCGAGCCACCTCTGAAGGTTTTTGAGCAGAATGGGGAACAGCAGGATGTAAAGCAATCCTTCTGCTATGTGGAAAAGAAGGCTGAGAGTAGAGTGGGGAGCAGGGCAAGCAGGTGGCTGTGATGGGGCCAGAGCTGCCTCTGTGGGGATCCCTTATTTGTAATTGTATGTGAGTTGTGCACTTTTGAGGACAGGAACCATATCTGCTTTATTCACCAGTGTCTCACCCCCTGCCTAGCCAGTGCTTGGCATAAAGCAGTTGATAAAGTGAATGCAGGTATTCATTATTTAATTAATTAACGGAGGTGCTTGCATAATAGTCACAGGTGTACAGATAGATTATTATCACACCTGTATGAGCTGTGAGCCTCACAGTGTCTGCCAACAAGGTAAGATGGGAATCATTATTCCCACACAGCTGAGGTGGAAAGTGTTACCCTGAGGCATAGCTTGTCCATCATCTAGCTGATGGCGAGGCTGGGACTAGGACCTGGAACACAAATTCCTAGATTCTGTCCACGATATCACTGTATCCCATATCCAAGCCCAAAGGACACAGCATATCTTGAGGACTAACCCTGCTTCCTGGCCAGGCCAGTTCAGACCAATAAGATTGAATATCTACTTCCCTGATAGTAAATTATTTGGACTTACCTTCAGCATCACAGCCCATTTCACATCTAACAAGGAACAAGTCTGTCTCAGCATGTGTAAAGGTACTGGGGCAGCCAGGAGCCCAGATGTTCAAGGCTCTAAAAGGAGGCCAGCATAGTGGGGGTGGTGGGGGAGTAGAGGTTTACACCTGGGTCTTACTGATTTCCCTGCATTGCCGTGGAAGGGATAGGACCCCTGGCGGGTTTCTTTGCCTTTGCTGAAGAAGCTCTAACCCTTCTCTCCCCTGCTTTGATCCAGCGCCTACACAGAGCCCTACAAAGTCTGTCCCATCTCGGTGGTGGCCCCAAAAGAGGACCTCACATCGGATGAAGAGCAGAGAAGCTCAGAGGAGGAGGACAGTGCTCCAAGAGACCCCAGCCTCACCCACAAGGTAGGATGCCCAGCCAGGAATGGGTCGATGGGATGTGTACGTTGAAGATGTGAAGGTGGCGAGTGACAGTGACAGCTCTGCTCCTTCCTCTCTTGGTGCAGAGAGAGCTGTTTGCACACAGCTGAGTACAGAGGCTGGGTCATCTTGCAGGGCTCCTTACGTCACAGCCCACCTGGTCCTGCCTGGTGATGCGAGGATACCTGCTGACACCCTCTCCGGTCTGAGGAGGTTTAGAGGTTTCCAGAGCCTTTGTGGGTGCAGCAGAATAGAGCTGCCCGATTTAAGTCAAGATACCCTTGGATTCCAGGGACCTGGGCCCCAGGGCCTCAGTTTCCTCATCTCTGAAGGTGGAAATCATGAGGATGAGTTATGTTAAAGGATATAAACTAGTTTTGTGAGCTGAAAAGAGGATTTTTAGAAGGAAATCTGGTCCCCCTGGCCTTGCAGTGGTGCTGTTGGTGGTTAGGGCTGATGGAAGAATTTTGTTTGTCTGGGGATTGATGGTGATTAGGCCTAAATCATGGTGAAGACCCAGACCTCCTTACTGGGCACATCAGTGCCAATGCTGGTGTTATGTATGGTCTGTGTTGAGTACCCCTGGTGAGCCGGTCTGACTCATTCACAGATGTGGTCTCAGCCCTCCCTCGCATACCTTCTAGGAGTCAGAAAGTGTTTCCCACATTTGAAATCTGCAGAAACAGCCAGAGGGCCAGAACTTGCCCAGGGGCACACAGCTAATGGGTGGCATCCTGGGCATCACAGGGTGATGCGGGCCAGGAGTTTAGACACAGAGGACACGAGTGCTGCAGTGGAACAGTCTAGGAAGGTTGAGACCAGCCTGAAATCCCCCCACCCATCATCTAGGCCGTTCCTGCCTGTTGAGGGGCAGCTGGGAGGCAGGGCGCATAGTCCCCCACACCACAGACCTCCACAGGCACCTTTTTCTGCGAGTCTCCCACTCCCCATCCTCCCTTCCAAGCCTGGGTTAGGTTTGTCACGTTGTTTAAAGAAGGCTGTCATTCGGAGAAGCAAACAGCAGAAGGGCTGGTGTTTACCAAGCGTTTAAGAGATGGGGATGTCTTTCATTTTGTTTCCATACACTTGATTTCTTTAGAAAATTCATTTGTCCCTCTGGACAGTGTTTCCAGTTACTTACCAAGTGTGGGGGAGCCCTGACGAGCTGTTGCCCACACCGGGCCCTCCTCCTCTCTGCCCCCACCTCATCGGGTCCTTCTCCCTCCACCTGCTCCTTCACTATCCCCGCCCCTTCCCTTCCCACATGTGTCCCCATGTCTCCCTCTCTCACTACTGGACTGTCTGTTTGGCATCCTGAGTATGTCCACGTTTGTCATCTCTTTTACTTCTTACAACAACTTCAAAGTCACCACCTTTATCCCTGTTTTACAGTTGGGGACACAGAAGTTCAGAGAGGTTAAGTAACTAGCCCACAGTCACACAGCTGGTGATCAAAGGGTTGGGGCTCACACATAGGCCTCAAGTCCAGTGATAATTGTCACTTCAGGCTTTCTCTTACCTCCCCATTCCTCCATCCTGCCAAGAAGTAATTATTGGTTCCTTTGAGAGAAGGGAGGGTGGGCCTTGACTCTGTGGTGCTCATTTGGAGATGATTTTGACTTTTTCAGACATCCCTGGGGTCATGGACTCTGGGAGAAGAAAGAGTTAGTTATCTTCAGCAATTTGGTCTCCACACTGAAATGGGAGTCAGGTCTGGGCACCAGCCCGGGAAACTTAAAGGACCCAGGGGGCAGTGGGGCTCCCGTGTGCAACTGTCTGCATCTCAGGGTCTTCCACTTTGTGATGGTGTCCCAGCACCGTCACCACGTTCTCTGTGAAACCTTTCTCTGGGACCTCCTGCATCTCCTCCTACAGCTGTGTCACCACTGGCCAGTCACTCAGCATCATGGGGCCTCAGCCTCTCCATCTCTAAAATGGGAACAATAATAGTAACTCCTGGATTGTGGGAGGGTTGAATGAGAACATAAATGTGAGAGTTCCAGCCACATGAGACATAATTATCTGTTATTTCTGAATCTGAGCAGCAGAGTGAAGGAGGGGAGGACAGGTTCTGGCCTGCTAGGGACCACTGTGAAGATGCAGATGTGAAGTTGTGGGACCCTGGGCATTGACAGTCAATTTCCCAGCCTTTTAGCTTCCTGTCTGCTGTTTGGAGACCCCCAGGAATCAGGAGCTGGCAAGAGGCAGCTGGGGATTAAGAAGTTGGAACCCAGCTTTGCCACTTGCTAGCTGAGTGACGTGTGCAGCTTCTTAACCACTCTGATTCTTAATTTCCTCATGTGTAAAATCAGAACAATAACGGCCTCTGCTTCAGAATGCTTACAAGAATAGATAGGTGTAGGGAGACTTAGAACAATGCCTGCCACGCAGGAAAAGGACATGCAAAGGTCAGAGCTTTGGGGTGAGACTGTGGCCCAGAATAGGGAAACAGCGGCAACACCAGTAGTCACGAAGGTGAGGCAGCTCCTGCCCCAAATAGGAGCCCCTTACATGACCTACAGGGGCCAGGGTCAGACAGGACCACCCTGTCCTGCTTATGTGACCTGCAGGGGCCAGGGTCAGGTGAAGCACCCTGTCCTTCTGAGGGCACAGAGGCAGGAGTATGGGTCCAGGCTCATCTTTTCAGCATGTGGGATGGTTACCTGGAGCCCAGACTTCTCATATGCTGATGAGACTGAGGGTCCCTGCCCTCTTGCCCTCTCCTCCTCTCTGATGGGGCTCGCGTGGTATTTCAGAGTTGGAATCACCTTCAGGATTTGCCTTGGGTAGGGTGTGCTCTACCAGATTGTCCTCCTCACGTATCAGATCATTGTAGATGATTGTTGAAGTCCCCTTGGACTCGTATTCCTGAAGCCTGTTCCCTCACAAAGCACATTGTTTTATGGGTTGTTATCTTTACGTAGGTTGTGTCACCCTGTAAGAAGCCCGCAGTGACTTGGTTGGGTTCTTTCAGTGGTATGGTAGAGATTCCTGCGCAGGTACCTGGAGCTCTGAATGCCACAATACTCCTTTTCCTGGATGTGCTGGGGGGAAGGTGCGGAACGTCTACAGTGAACATTTGGGATGTTTCCCATTTGTTTGCTCTCCCATGAGCACTGCCATAAAGCAGTGCACACGGCTCTGGGCACACTGCGGAGGGTGGGTCAGAGAGCAGGCACAGGTTTAGTCCCCGTATCTGCTGCATTACCTGGAGGGCCCTTTGGAGCAGGCTCCCCGGCCCTCCTCTGTGCAGGAGGGCTCCCAGCTCCCTGAACTGCAGTGGGGGTGGGAAAGGAGGATCCACTCCAGCTCCTGTAAGCAGTGGGATTTGGGTGGGCTGGGAGTGGGGAGAAGGGTCATTTACTCTTTATTCATTTGTCCACCTCTGTGTTCAGAATTCCGTTTCTCCAGAAGGCAAAGACTTCACTGTGCCCTGGTCTCCTTGTGTGGGAAATGGGACCGAGGGTTTCCCATCTCCACTACCTCAGAAGAGCAGACAGGCAGGGTGTGAATGACGGCAGGGTCACCCATGCCGGGCCTCAGGAGTCATGTTTGGGGGTGCAGTGGTGAGCCCCACCCTCGCCAGATGTTTCAGGTCAGGAGGGGAGAGGTTTTTGGAACAGGGCAGGAGGCCCAGCCCAGCTGGATCACCCATGCGTCTGACCTCTCCTGCTCGCCCACTCAGAGACATACAAAGGGTGTAGGTGGAAGGAAAGAGGGAGGGGAAAAAAGGAAAAGTGAGAGGTACATAAAAATAGCTCTTCTTATGAAAGGGTACATTCAGAGGCTGTCTGGCCTGTGGGTCCTCCCTGACAATGAGCCGAACGGGGACTTTTCACGTTAAATACCAGTTCCCAGGAGACCAGCCCTGGAGCTGGCGGCCCCTCCCAGGGACCCCCTCCCTTGTCTGAGTCTCCTGGCCGTGTTTGCTTCCCTCAGTCTGGCCCGGGTTCCCGTGGCCCTTGCCCTCCCTGGTCAGGCATCTCCTGCGCAGCTGGGCCCACATGCCCGGTCCTCTGCCCTGCCCAGCCAGCTGACCTGTGCCACCAGTCCTTGCATCTGTAGCCTCATCTCAACCATTGCTCCCAGTCAAAGGGTGGTCACCACCAGGCCCATCCCCAGCCTGGGGTAAACCTGCCCTTTCTCACGCCGCACACTTCTGAGCCAGATGCACAGGCCTGCCGCTGGCCTGGCTGCAAACGCTCAGTCTCCTAGTCCTCGGGGAGGCAGCTCTAAGCCTCTGTCAGCTTCCTCAGGCTGCAACCTGTACTTCTCATTCCCAGAAGTCCCAGAAAACAGCCCTGGTCGCCCATCAGACTTGCACGCCCTCCCCTTTGGGCTTCTCTTTTCTCTTTATTCTTCCCTCCGTTGTTTTGGGGCCCCTCCTCTTCTTCCACAGAATCACACTTCATAAGTATTAATACTTCCTGAGCAGCTGCTTTGTGCCAGGCCCCTTCTGAAGGCTGAAGATACAGCAGCAGGGACAAGTCAGACCCAGTCCCTGCCTGCCCAGGTGGGGTTTTATATTCTAGAGAAGGTGGGAGACAAGCTAGGAAACTTCCAAGATGGAGTTAGCTGGTGACAGGTGCTGTCGAGGCCGAACTGACCACGTGAGGGACAGAGCTCCTGGGGAGGGGCTGGGTGATCTTAGCTAGGGCGGCTAGAGAAGGCCTTTCTAATTTTTTTTGAATTGTGGTAAAATTGATCTAACATAAAATCTGCATCTCAACCAGTTTTAGTTGTGCAGTTCAATGGCAGTAAGTCCTTCTACATTGCTGCAAACCATCACCACCATCCATCTCCAGAACATCTTCCTGAAATGAAAGTCTGTTGCCCTTAAAACACTAACTCCCCGTCCCTCCTCCTCCTCCCCCCTTCCACTTTCTGTCTTGTGTGTTGTACTGCCCTAGGTACCTCATATGGGTGGAAACACACGCTGTTCATCCTTTTGTGCTGACTGGTTTCGCTTAGCACTATGCCCTCCA